CATTACTTAGCAAATGGTAAAGCTGATCCTCCTGGTTAAAAAAAATCAGTTTTACAGTTACAGGAAGTGGACTAACTGGTTTGAGAGTAGTTTGTGTGGAAAAATCAGGGCTAATGGCCTTAGATTCTTGCTAAGCATAATACTACTAAAAATAGCTGGCTATCCTAGGATGACTTAGTACAAGAATGCTGCCACAATCTATACTTTCTCCGTGCTGGACATTGGTCATCCCATGCTTTCAGAGGGGTGTCTGGTTGAAAGGGCCACTCTCCAAGAGGATGCTGGGAAAAAATCAAGAATATTCTCAGGAGTAGTTCTGGGCTTTTGATTGAGATGTCTTAGAACTAACTATATCAGCTAAGTTGAGATGGAAGGACCACAGAATGCTTAACTTGAAGAAAAATACTCTTTGAAGTTAATGTCATTAATGAGTTTCTATGGTAATATCAAATTCCAAATAGGGGCTGAACAGATTCCTGGGATGTGAGATGCTCAGTGGTAAAACCAAGAAAGTCTAGGACAAACCAGGATGAATGTTTACCTTATGCTATGCTTCGGCCACACTTATGTGCTATCTATTCAGCAGTTAAATTTGTTCCTGTCTTAGAGCCTTAGCATTTGCTGTTCCCTCTCTTTGAAACTCTTTTCCCCTAAATTTTCACATAGTTCCTTTCTGTCCTTTTGCTCTCAAATCAAACATCACCTTCCTTGAAAGCAAATGTGTATAACAATTTTGTTCCACCACTCTCTTTCATATCACCCTGTTTTCATTTCTTCATAACAGATATTACTATCTGAATTGCATTATTTGGTACTTCTTATTATCACTATCACCCCCAATAGAATATAAGTTAAATAAGAGGGGAAGCCTTGTCTCTTTTTGTTCATTGCCATATCTTCAGCAACTCTAACAGAACTGGACACATAGTATGAACTTAATAAATATTTGTTGAATGGATAAATGAATGAATTATTCTACCTGACCATGAAGCCTAGATTGCAGTCTCCCATACACACACCAAGAAGCTCTGAGAAAATATCCACAAGATAAGTAAACTCCAGTACCTGATAAACTTTCAGATTAGGCCACATAGATCAGTATGCTATGGGGCTATGTCTTGTAGAATCTGATTATAAGGCAGGAAAGTTGCTGTCAATTATGCCTTATGAGATTGCTATGTAAGTACTGTCTACACCCAGAAGAGCTGAATCTGGGCAGTTTGCATGCTCTGGGCTGTGCCCTTGAAGTGAAAAATGTCTGTTTTCATCTTAAATCACTTGTGATTCTCTGTCTCTGGTCAAATTATCATCAGAGCCTTTAAGAACTTTGAAATTAGAAGATTCAGAGAAAAAGATATCTATGGCCTCACAATCAACTTTCCTTTTAGAAATATTGGCCATAGACTTTCTTTCTATTAAGAACTCCCAGATGATATGGTTATTTTCTCCAAAGATTCCGGTCCATTCCATCACAATTTAAGCCCATGGCATCATTTCACCTCAATGTTTCTTTGCCTTCTGAGAAATGAAATTGTCAGCAAGGCAAATCCCAAATTTATCAGATGCCCTGATTTTAGCAGAATGAGACCCCCATCAGATGCCTGGACAGCTGAAGCTTTCCATTCCTACTGTAGCTTGCCATGTCCTTTGTGAAATATTTCATTGATGGCCTGCAATTTATCCCAATTTGTATGCTATTACAAATGTTCACCAACTTATTCTCCTTCATATTTTGTGGATTTCCACATAGGTTTAATATATTTTTTAATATACAGGTGTGAGAAGATCCCTTAGAATCACAAAGAAAATTCTTCAGGAATAAGTATCTCACATAGGCAGAACCTTACCATTAACCTCTGTGGAAGAAATGACCACAAAAGCCGACTATGAAGTGACTTTCTGGCTGAAAGTCTTCCTCTTCCATTGTCTTTCTCCAGAGCACTGCTCTATCAGGGGACACATTTTTAGTACTAAGAAACGGACAAGTAAAAATTTCAGGAAAAAAAATTATTCAGGGTCAGATAGCCAAAAACAGATAGTATGATTAAATGCAGTGTAAAAATACCTGAATGGGAGAATCCATTTAGTGAAAGTGACATCAAGAGCTTTTATTTAAGCAAACATCTTTCAAGAGTTTTCTCTGTGCAAGGTAGAGTTCCAGAGAAAATGGAGATGACTCAGATATGGTCGCTAAATCCAGGAGCTTATAGCTTCTAAAATTTGTACTCAGCCTTACTTCCATTATAAAGGGTCAAAGTACTTAAACTTAAAAAAACTAAATAAAAATAAACTTGATCTAATCTCTGTTGAACTCATAATTGTACTTGGGAGAGAATTGAATTGACAAACATAGCCTATCATTTGCAGGACCCAACAAATACAAAAGTTAAGTTACACAGTCATACTATGATGTACATCTTGATCTCCAAAATTCCTCAATGTAAATTCTTCATAGCACTACCTGAACATTTAACTTGCTAGCAGAAAATAAATTAAATGAAGAACTTTCCAGAAAGAAGAAAGTATCTCCTTGAGGGAAAAGAGCCCTGATTCCCCACCACAACAATATTTACTGACTGGAATTGTTGCTATAAGGAATACTCACTGAAATGCTCATTAACCAAGTTAGGAGGAAAGTTAACATTATTTTAACGAGCTAAATACAGCAGGTGTCTCCTCCTCCTTCTTTGTTTTCTTTCTCCCTATTTGCATTAGGCAACTTAATTACAAAGCAAGAATATCTCCTAAGTCCCCAAGGTGGAAATTGTTCTTCAAGACTGAGGTTGTAAATTCTTAAACCACCACAAGATTATCCAAATTTCCAAATTTCCTTCTTGTATTTAAATTGTAGCTTCTTTTAATACTACCTAAATATTTTTTGTCTGTAAGTAGATTATACATTTTTGGCAAACACCAATATTTTAAAAATGTCTCAATGTATTCAGAAAGGACATCTCTTCAATTTATTTTTATGTGGCTGGGAACAAAGTAACAGAATTTTGGACACCTCAAGAAGAAATATCATTTTAATATTTGTACAGGCAAAGAAAAACTGCATGTCGTGAACTGCTATAATATTATCATTATTATTATTATCATTATTATTATTATGTTAGAAAATGAGTTTTTCATTGTTTTTTAAGCACCAGCCTTTCATGGTAGCCTTATTATAAGCCACCTTTGTGTAAATAGAAGAAAAAGATATTTAACAAGTAGAAATAAATGTGCATGATTCACCAGCACAGTTAACTCAAGATTTTCCAGCCTTATAACCACAACTGATAGATTTATTACCACAGCTGCTTGTATTAAACTTCTTTTCCTTGCAGTTGAAGGAATCAAATTTCTTATTGGAGATTAGTCATTTGTGGGGGTGTCGCCAACTGCAAAATGCTTCTGTTATGAATGAGATGCACTTCCCTGTTGCTGTCCTCCAGCCCTAAGTCGGTGAGTAATTTTCATCTCTTTATATGTCTTTTCCCGCCTACTGTCAGGAACAAATCTTAATGACTTGCACAGTCAAACTTTCTCTTAGTTGTTACTCAAACCAAAAACTTCAGATGGTATTGTTTCTGGTAATGTGAAAACCTCACAAGGGAAGGTAGGATGAAATGACAGTTTGGCATATCTTCACAAGGATGAAATCCAAGCTGAAGGAAAAGTCTACATGGGGTGTGAACGTGGGAAGAGAGCTAAAATATCTTGGGTGCTATAATTGTGCCAGGTACTGTGCTAGGTTCTTTATAAAAATAATCTCATCTAATTCTTGAAACAGTCCTGGGAGAGGTTAGTTGATATTCCCGTTTCATGTATGAGGAAATTGAATTTCTCAAGATTGTGCAGCTTATTCGTGGCTGAACCAGAATTTAGACTTGAATCCAGCTGACTCCCTTGCTTTGTTTGTTTTTCAGTAATCTGCCTTTTGAGTACGAAGAATTACCTAATTATATACAGCACTAATATAACTATACAGTAAGGAGAGATTTGATTCTGTGTCTAAATAAGAAAATCTTAAAGCCAAAAGAGACTTCAATGGGTCATCTCTTTCACTCCCTACTGAAATCATATAAAACTGACAGGGCTCTTTCTTTTTTTTCTTTCTTTCTTTCTTTCTTTTTTTTTTAACACTTCTGAAAACGTATTCCAAAATTTCTTTTGTCCCTCTTCATAATTTCTGGTAACTGTTGTCTTCATGAAATCTTTTTATCTAATAAGATTTTCCCATCACCCTTTAAGCTCTTGTTTGGAACTATATGGAGATGGTAGGATCTGCACATTGTAAGCTGCTGTCATTTGAAAATAGATACCAGGATAATTGAACAGAGTGAGATTTCAGTAAATCCACCAGTTGCTTGGTTTTTTCCATGTTATTTTGGCTAGTGATGTCTTTCTATTGAACTGACTGATAGCTTTAGCTACATGTACACTTTCTAATTTACCATGCATAGGTGGTTTTAATATGACATATAAGAACAACAGCAACAAAAATATTGAAAAGCAGAGAACTATTTCGAGCATTCACAACTGGTCCATTGAGCTTAAACTTAAAAAATATTAAGTGCTAATTGGTGAACCAACTTAAATAAAGCTATTAACGAGCATTTTTGCTGGGGTGATGTGGCATATTTGCTTTTTTTTTTTGGTCAAGAATAAAGTTAATCATATAGCCATGCTCCTTTATGAGAGCAATAATTCTGTTTAACCCAATGTACATGATTTTCTTACTTGATCAGTTATAAATAACCCTAATGGGAATCTAACAGTTCAAATAACTTAACCATCCTCTCTTGATGATGTAAGTTTCTACCAGACAGAAAAGAGAACCTGTATTTCCACCATTGGATACTTGAACAGCTGACCCTAACTCAGTAAAACAAATGACATAATAATCAGAGCTTCAGAACATGAACTCTAACAGGCTATGGAGATGCTACTCCTCTTATTTCCTCATGTAGGTGACATTATGTTTTGTCTTCTTTCCCAGTACCTGAGACAACTAAATGGGCAGTCTAAAAAGAGACAATGTTTCTGAGGTGACTGAATTCATACTTGTTGGATTTTCCCAACAGCCTCAAATCCAGGCTGCCTTCTTCCTGGGACTGCTGTTTTTCTATCTGGTCACAATGTTTGGGAACAACCTTATTGTTGTTGTGGTGAGATGGGATTCTCGACTTCACACCCCCATGTATTTTTTTCTCAGTAATTTATCCTTCCTTGATATCTGTTATTCTACCAGCTGAGAGCCATATGTGTTGGCCCAGTGCTTCAGGGACTTCCCCACCATTTCCTATACCAGCTGTTATGCCCAGATGACCACATCTCTCTTTCTAGGGATGACAGAGTGTATCTTCCTTGCTATCATGGTTAATGACAGGTTTGTTGCAATCTCCAATCCCCTGCGTTACACCATCATTATGAACAATCGGGTTTGCAAACAGTTGGCCTTAGGAACCTGGGCCAGTGCCTTTTTAGTAGCAGTCACACCAATCACTGCAATCCCTGCTCGTTATTGTGGGCACAATACCATCAACCATTTCATCTGTGAGATCCAGGCCCTGCTGAAGCTTGTCAGTCTAATTCTGGATCTGATTATCAGTGTGTTTACACTGCCCCTGCCCTTCACCTTCATCCTCATCTCCTATACTCACATTGTGGTTGCCGTAGTGAAAATCCACTCTGCAGAAGCCAGGCTCAAAGCTTTCTCCACCTGTGGATCCCATCTGACTGTGGTCACCATATTTTATGGGACAGCCATCTACATGTACCTGAAACCTCAGTCAGAAGAATATCAAGAAGAAGACAAAGTCATGTCAATATTTTATGGAGCAGTTACTCCCATGTTAAATCCCCTCATTTACACCCTGAGAAATAAGGATGTAAAAGTTGCACTTAGGAAGTTAGCTAAAGGAAAGGAAAAATCCTAATGGTTCTCTTGAAGCCTCTCCAATGTGCAAGAAAAAAAATTAAAACTTGGTCCTCAAAATTTCAGTTTACATTTTTAAAAACAAACAACAACAAAAACCTTAGTGAGCATTCTTTCTGTGGTCACCACTAGGCACTCACTAACAAGTCTACCATGAATGTTAACGTTTTATCAAGCCACATTAAGAGCTAAAGCCATGAATGTGCATAAAATAGTTCACAAAGAGAATAATAGCAGTAAATATGTAAAGGTGAAGGTTATGGCCATAGTAGCCCATTAGGGAGAAGTTCTTTCTTGGAGTATAAACCACAAAATTTTTGCAACCAAATATCTTTTTATTTCACACACAAGGCAGATAAAATCCATATATAAGGCAGTACTCATGCAACCATAGTATAGTATTTGCTCCTCATATCACATTTTATAGGTGTCTGATCCAGTTTGAACCTAATGGACAAATGACCCTTCAATTCCCACCTTTAGGTGATAACATCTCATGGCAAGAAGTATCTTTTGTATGTAAAACATTTTATCATTTTAAAAGTGTTTTTAAATAAGTTATCCTAGTTTATACTTATAATTTCTTATTTTAAAGTAGTTTGCATATTATATGTATTAATAAATCTTTCTCAACCAACATTTGTTTCTACAAATATTAAATTTCTATCATATCAATTTCTTATAAAGATGTCTAAACTGAAATTGTTATTCTTTTGCCTTCTCCTATTTCCCTGCTTTCTCTTCCATGATGTGCCTCTGGCCATTCCTACTCCCACTTGTCATACACATTCATGAACTGTAACATTTCTGCTCTACCCAAGAGTCTTCATGGCCAAGATTGTTATTGCTTGTCTCCTTTTCACCAATATAATAAGATGCCATATGGACTTTCTATTGTTGACAGCCAACATTTATTTTACACTTTGTATTATGGTAACTTGTTGATTCTTTTTCTCATCTTAACTTTGATTGACTCCAGAAACCTTCTGCCATAGCACATTCAGAAGGCAATTATGTCTTGCTTCTAAAATTTCCTTTATTCCCAGAGCCTTCTCTTGGGCAGATGACTATTTGGTGACAATATTTTCTATCCTTGGCCTTTTCCTTCACTTTCTGAAGGCTGATTGCTTTGAAGGAATATTATCTGAGAAATTATATATATACATATAATATAATTAGATATATTATATTTAATATACTATATAAATATGTTATATAAATTAATAAATTAAGGATTTAATAAAATACAAATAAAATTAATAAGTATATAAATTATATACAATATAAAATATATTATAAAGATATAGTATAGTGTGTATGTAATTATATTCTGTACTGTATTTGTTGGTGGTACCATATATATAATTGAAACTATTTGAATTGTGGGCAATGGAGTCAGAAAGCTTGGGTTCAAATTTAAGCTCTACTGTTTATTAGCTGCGGCATCTTTTGCAAAAAACTGCTCTGTGCATCAAGTTTCTTACCCATAAAATAAAAATAGTACCCTTTCATTGTTCTGTTGGAAAAATTAAATTGATAATCAATTTAAAGTTTTTAGAGCAGTTCCTGGCACATAGTAAGCATTCAATAAGTGTTAGATATTATTGCTGTTTTCTAAAAGCTTCCAAATACTCCTAGTCTTTGTTTTCTAAAATCAATTTCCTTTATGCATCATCCTCCCCAAAGTATACAATGGGGAGCCTTACCAGCCCATTCTCTAATTTTAGAAACACAGTAATATCATATTTGCCTTTGGCTCTCACTTTTATGGCTTTACTCTTAATCTGGTTGACTCCTATTCCAGTTCCTCTGACCCATGCTTGATATATTTTAAGTAGAAACAGCCTCAAACTTAGGAATGAGTTATGTCCAAAATTTAACTCATAAGTCATCAGCTTGGAACTCAGAGCACGTTTTCTCCACTGAGACAGAGTAGCAAAATTCCAAGGGCACATCACCAACACCTATTTAGGTCATCATTCTATCACTAATGATTCTAAAGGCCTTAGGAGTATTTTCCAAAAAAAAAAAAGGCTTTAGGAGTATTTTCTAAAGTATGTTTATTGTAAGATAGGTTTTGAGCTACCATTTGGATTTTAAAAGCACAGGCACCATTAGATGGCATTAGTGATCAAAAAAAAAAAGATCTGCCATGAGGATCTGCGTAACCTTCCTCATTGCCCGACGAGTGTATGTGGAAATCTCAACAAGATGTATGAGTGGGACTCAGGGAGCTTATCTAGGACCAAAAAAGTAGTAACTGGCTTCTATGTGTGAGTCATGCACAATTCAGAGGACTGCTACCGCTTTCTTCATTTCTTTTTATGTTATTGCTGATGTTGGATGACTTGGCAACACAAAGCGTCAGGTTATTCATTCCATAAAGATTTTTAAAGTGGCTACTGTATGTGAGGGATACAAATCCAAGTACGTCATTTTCTTGCCTTTGAGAGGCTCATATCAGAGTTGGGGAGTAAAGAAGCACAGTTAAGTGCTACAGATACTATGATCTATATTTGTACAAGTTACAGAGACCAGTTCTAACTGGGCAGTTAGAAAATCTTTAACAAAGGAGATGACACCTTTGGTAGAGTCTTGAGAGAGGAATAGTTTGTCAGTTGGATAAGGGAGGACAATTTTAGTGGATGTAGTGTGAACAAATACAGAGCTACAAAACCCAGTTTGCTGTGCTTCCAGATACTGCCAATTCCATTCCCACAGCAGAGGGTGTGGGAAGTGTTTTGGCAATATATAAAACTTGAGAAGAAAGCAGCAGGCCAGATTATGGGAAGATTGCTATGCTATATTAAGGAGCTTTCATTTTATTTATTCTATGGGTCAGCCTGAAGGGCCAAATCCAGCTCTTGGCTTGTACAGCCCATGAGCTAAGAAAGGTTTTCAAATTTTGAATGGGTGTTTTAAAAAAAAGAAGACTATTTGACAAAAACTATATGTGGCCTGTAAAGCCTAAAACATTTACTACCTGACCCTTTACAGAAAAAAAAAAATGTGCTGAGCCTTGCTACAGAAGCAGGGTAACTACTGTATAGATTTTTGAGCAGATCAGCAACGTGTTCAGAATTATGTTTTTAAAAGCTAACTTTTATGACAAATCTGTAAAATTGATTGAAGAGATAGAAGATTGGACATAGGGCCAATTAAAAGGCTGTTAAGAATCATCTGAGACCTGACGCAGACCCAAACTAAGGGTATGGCAATAGGGATTTGGAAGAAACTTTGGGTCATTAGAACATCCCTTCCTTTTTCACTTTTACATGCAATTTCATTCATATTCAACATGCATTTTCTCAGAAGCAGGATCTTTAGCACTAATATCGTAAGGGGTGTCAGGGTCAGGTGAGCTCATCCGCAACATTTCTTTCCCAACATTCAATGAGCACAGAGAAATATGAAGACAGTAGAGTCCAAAGTCACATACTTGTGTTTTATTCATATATTACAACCCCTTTTCTGACTTGGAGTAGCTTTGTATTGCATATAAAATTGCATTTTGTTCAAACAAAATGTGTTTATTTAAAGATAATAAATATCCTCTGGCTTCTTGCATGATCTCTGAAGTTCACTGATCACCGGTCACACCTTTAGACATACTGTTGCATCTCATGCATCATGAATAGTGCCACCATGAGCCTTAATAAAAAGATTTCCAAAAACGGTGTTTAGTAATGTCAGTGACTCCAAGCTTCTAAGTTTTTCTTTGCTCAAATATCATTAACCCTCCTTGTTTTATCATATTGGTCATTTCCTTCTTATCTCATATATCATAGAAACCCACAGATATAATCATTTTGCAGTATATACATGTATAAAATCACTATGTTGTACACCTTGAACTTACACTCGGTTATATATCAATTATATTTCAATAAAGATGAGGGGAAAAGAAAGAAACCCACAGCTAAATATTTGCTCAGCCCATGCAAAAAAGCCCTAGAATAATAATACCTAAATTTTGTTCAAGATATGTTCACAAATATTGTTTCATTTCAGCTTCACAACAATGTGAAGTCACTTTACAGATGAGAAATTCCAGGATCTGGAAAGATTTGCCCAAGGTAAAAGTAGAATTAAGTAGAAGTAGAATTAACCCATCTCTGACCCCAAAGCTTGTAGATTTTCCATTGTACTGCATCCATAAGGCAACAGATTCAGATTTTCTCATCAACATCTTGTTCATGATGCTCACTCACACTGAGCTGTGAAATCTGTTGTTGAGTCACTCTTATTTGCTGCTTGTTTTTTCATACCCCCATATTAGCCTATATCTTTTCCTGCATTACAGCTCCATACAGGATTCTCATAACGGACTTAAAGTCATCTTAACCTACCTGTCTATAATCTCTCAAACACATGACAACCTTCTTCTCTTCATGCACGTGAGAAAATGTCAGTAGCCTTGTTTGCCTTTGCTTTGTCCCTGTATTACCCAGATTCTCTGTCTATTGCAGATATTTGTCATTTGCCCTTTAGTTTTCCCTATTTCTGTTCTAATTTCTTTATTTTTTTCTGTGCTCTCCATTAGTTTGTTCTAATATTGAAAATATCTATTTTTTCTCTTCAAAGCATTTGGCTCCATTTCTTTCCTTGAGAGCTTTCTTCAAATTATTTTTTCATTTGTACCTATCCTCTCTGACAGCTTGAAATGAAAGCTTGGCTTCTCTCCCCTTGACCATTCCTCATCATTTTCAATGCCTTCTCTTGCTTATATGGATTTTCTCATCTTACTTTTACCTCTGCCAAATTTCCAAGCTTTTATGAAATTAATTTCAGCTATTACCATTGCATGATCAGAAAAAGTGCTATCTTTCATTTTATATGTCAGACCTCTACTCTCTCTTGCATATAAATCCTGTCAACCCTACTGGATCATTTCCCTTTTATGTAAGCATATTGCAAAGTGTTAGCATATGCTTCCAAATAATCTTTCAAGTCTACATTTTTGTGCACAATTTTCTAAATATTCAGCTTCACTGGTCAATT